TTTAATTGCGGCGCTAACTAAAAGGTGAGTTCACATCGACTTCTTTGCTTAAAATTTTCTTTCATTAACGGGAATCTCGACATATGCAGTATCAGCACTTTTAACCGCGAACACATTGAGAAAAATCCTCTGTCTTTTAATATCTATTTATAATTAAATTGAGTCTTCTAACTTAATCTTGATGATTAGAAGTGGAAATTTTTTTCTTATTTTGAACAGACAACAATGCTGCTATGCCTAACGTACTGTTCTTTTATCCTTTACCCAATGTTGAAATCAATTTTTTTGTTTCTATTCGAGAACATTTAGTACTTTTTATGAAAGTTAACCTATCTAGTTTTCTATACCCCTGAAAACGTCTATTCAAAATTTCGAAATATTACGTTGAGTAGTTAAGGCGTAAAATTGATCTATCGTGGGAGAGCAAACGTATCGGCATATATAAGCCGGCTTGACAGGAGTAATGCTACGGCCTCACAGAAAACCAGTTGTTAAGTAATTCTTTCACTTCTTTTCGAAGAGGAAGAGAGGTTACCAGAAGTTTAACCAGCCGACCCCCTTAATTCTCGGGGAAGGGCACTCAACGGGCGGTAATGCGGTAGTCGCTTCCCATCAGATAACCCATCTACTCGTTTGTCCCTTATTCCATAAAAAATGGCACAACCGAACAATCAAACAAACTCATATTTAAAATATTTGTTAGAAAATTTTCGTATCAATTGCGTTTACATGTATAATTAACTCTTGTGTAAAAGAACTTGATATTAGAATATTGTTGAAAACATTTCGTCATTTCGTAATCCATGATATCCGTCATTCGAATACTTATTGAACATGAGATCAAACGAGATCGGGACGAATCTTAAGTATTGGTGTAATGTGAAATATATCTACTATGAATACGAATATACCTGTTTGAATTTGTAAGGCTTTTCTCACTGAATGTTGCTGGTGTTCGCACTGGTTTATTTTTTTACATTGATATCGGTAAAAAATGTTTGAAAAACTAAAAAAATGCACTGAACTTTGCATTTTTTTCTACATAGACATGTTTTAGGACACGTTATTCTGCTGACCATAATTGGAAGAAACGCTAATACATCTGACAACAGCAATGCAAACAGAACGAAAATTTGACATAAACCCTATACCAACCCATCTGCCCCCCGTGGTATAGAAGGCCAAATCCTCATTTCTAAGGAGAGACCTATGTTAAGCAGTGGACTATTAAAGGCTTGTGATGATGATATGAACGGGATCAAACGACAAGTATAAGTTCTCAAAATAAAAGCTTTTTCAAATCGGTTCATAAGAAACGGAGGTCTGATGAAAATAACATAAAAATAACCAACTTAAATGAAAACCACCTGCTATTTTTGTTGTCGGTTAAAACTTAAAGACTACTTGCATCTTATATAACTTTTTTATTATTTAATAGTCACTGTAAATCACAAACAAATCAAATAATTAGACTTTATACGTTAAATAACCATCGCTTTGACTCTTGAAAATAATTGAGATTTGATCCATTAAATGAGCACAATAATGCAGAAATAAGGTAAAGTAATTTTATCAGGTTATCATGTTTAAGATGTGTTAAGTTATTTAGATTTAAATTCAAATTATCTTAATTTCATAAAAAAAAAAAAAATTGTTTGAAATCGTCTGTTATGTACAGTAAAGTCGTCTAAAGTCGTAGATCAACACACAAACACAATAGCAACAATCTCTGTTTTATCAAATTATTATACAAATATAGCTAGGTATTAAAATGCAAAACTTTGTAACTGCTCGTTCTCTACAACGTTACAAATAAAAGACCAAGACTTTAATATTTGTGTACATCTTTATTACGCCCTATACTAAACGTAATGGAGCAAAAAATATCTTACGATAATATCAAAGTTATTTTGAAGACTTTCTGATCTACCTACGTTTTCATTGTGAAGAATTTTATAAACATCTTACGACGTACAATGTATATTTACAGGATGAATGCGAATTTGTTTGATCTTGGTACATCAAGAAAATATTCAGAAGAACGGTGGCTATAGAAAAGGATAAAGCAGAGCAGAACATGTAAAGCTTCTAGAACTAGGCATCTGTCGTGAAAATGTGGTAAAAAAGTGCCTTTAGAGAGGGCGAACCAAACTAATTTGATACTAATTTTATTCCAATTTAGAACACTTCAAATGTAAAAAAGTGTATGCATGCACGTTTAGTGCGTGCATTCACACACGGCAGAATTGGGACTTTCGACTTCCGCATTTTATTTTATCTCAGAAAAACCCCATAAAATTTGTCCCGGCCCGGGCATGGGTTCGATTCCCGGGCCGGGCAAAAACTAAGGCAGCGTTTATCAAATTACACTCGAACGAAGTCGCGGGTAGCGGGTATTAAATAAAAAGATAAAAATATTCGCAATGTCTAAATATTATATTAAAAATAATGTGTTATGTATTCTATCTCTTTCTCTCGCCGCCTTAATCCTATACATTTATGTGTTTGTTTCTTTATCGTGACGCATTTTGGTTTCATCGAGTTTCAATCAACGATTCTAAAGAAGTTTCACTTAAAAACATATAACTTTTGTCCTATTTAGTATTAACTTGAAAATATTTGTAATATGGGACTTTTAAAAATATGTACATACATAGTTTGCCATTTGGAGTTATAAATGGGCCATATAGTGTATTTAAAAGCAATATCAATTAATAAAACAATGACTAACACATTGTTTTGAACAACTTGACTACGACGGATGCAATTATGTCGAATCATTGGTGAACCATGAAAGCATCGTTATTTCTTATTCAGATTATCGCGCTTAAGTCAAGATTAACACATTTAATACTTACACGATTTCAATATCAGCCTGTGTAATGTAGTGACTGTGTTTATCGTACGCGGCAGAGGTAAACATGGTCGTACGATGTCTGTAATCTGCGGGCGGACGCAGGGTCGGCCTTGCCAAATAACTTCCGCACTACTCCAACACCTGCGCTGCCGACACCGTGTGCCACTTTCTATTGCATATACCACATGTGTTCTCTGTACAGGATTTAATATAGTTTGGCGTAGAGTGACGTACGCGTGCGAATGGATCTTTCTGGTACAGACTGAAGTACCTACACATTAGGTAGGTAATATGTTGGCTTGCAGGATATACTTGTTCACAATTTAATGCGATAATTGTGATTTAGATATACGAATTTTATATTAATAAACAATAATATGTGTTTGTAAACTGTTTGATGAATTTGGAAATTATAAAGACGTCTTTGATGAATATGATTTTGAACACCGTGTAAAGGCTGTAGATCACCGTGTGAGTGATAAGACCGCCTATTGTTTTACCAAAGTGAAGATGTCCATCCATGTCTGTACAAAATATATACTGTAGCGATGTATAATAAATATGAATGATTTTAATAATATTAAAATTAAGGTAGGTGACATCTATAGAATAAGTCAGTTTCAGCAGATTTTACCGTGAAAGTAATAAGAAATTTTAAAGTGTTATATGTAAAATATTCAGTTAAAGTTTAATGGAAAGAAAAATATGCAAAATAATCTTATATACATTGGATATTAGAGGTAGGTGAGTTGATACTCTGAACCTAACAAAACCCACTTAGTGAAATTTTAAAAACTTTTTATCAATTATAACTATAATATGCAATAGAAAGTGTTTAGGTATATATGCGACATAATTAAGTAATTTTAGCGTACTGTAGGAATTAAATAATTAAAAATACATGATTGTTTAACATTACTAATAATTCTTGACATTTTATTTAATCTTTTTTGACATTGTATACAATAATTCTTGACATTGTATTTACTAATCCTTCCTGGAAATATTTGTACGCTGGAAACAGCAGAATATTATGGATGTCATATTATGTCTAACACCTGTACCTCAACAATATTCTGACAAATAAATATATTATTATTAAATAAGTATATTATTATTATTATTACTCTAATTAGGTGTTAACTATGATGAATCGTCAAGACAGTTGATGTTGGTGTGAGTAAGTAATTTACTTCGTCACCCTGCTTTTACAATTCAAATTTCTGTTTTACTCAAACTTTTGACTAGTTTGTTTCGCGTTTTATTGCTTTTCAAAAAGAAATTTATGTACTCGTAACAGCAATTTCAACACAAAAAAACAGGATAATATTCTATTTTCCAGTATTGCAGACATTGGTACTTTTCTCAACACTATATTTTTCAAAAAGAAACTACGTACGAGCATTTAGGATAATATTTAAAAAAAGAAAACATATTTTATGATCTCAATCAGGTTTCGGAAATAAGCATACTGCCTGTTCGATTATAATCGTTAACATAACTTATAGACGGGTCTAATACTCAGGAACACTGTGCTTTTTTATGAATCTTACAAGTTATCTTTTAGAAAATTTACGGCAGGTGGGTTAAATGACTGCAAAAGGAGTTCTAGAAGTTGTTACGAATCTTAGGCAACGTATAGGATAAAACTGCTACAGCTGGTAAACGACCGGTATGACAACAAGATACAGGTAAATATCATGTGATTAAGATATATGCTCACCTCTATATTTTTGAGAACTTTAAGGCTCTTTTTGGAGGAATTCCTCATAAAACACAGAGTCGATAATGATTAAGTAACTCTTCTTGTGATATAAACATCTTACTGCATTCGGCCGAGAGCTTGTTTGAAACTGTAGTGGTACAAAGGGAAAGAAGGATATAAACATTTGTTAATGGCTATGATTTCATTGACATACGAAATCTTCATACGAGAAAATATTTTGAAACTTTTTAGAACATTAAACGATTTATAAAATAAATGAATAAAATTTCCCAAAATATAGTTGTGTGTTTCCAACAAACAAGAGTTTGTGTGAGAGGTTCTAAGTCGCGAAGCGGTTCGCGCCAATGGCGTTATATCGCGATAGAGCGGGCAGCGCACGCGCGACGGCACTCCGCTCGCTGCAGCCGCCGCGGCTGCTCATGCCACTTGCTCAATGCACAGTTCGCGATCACGACACAGGACTACGTAAAACAAAGTTGCGATGTTTCTAAAGTTTTGAACACTTATGGGTTGTTGGTGCGTATGGTGTATGAAGTGAGTGCGGTGAGCGCGCGATGCACTTAGCCTCCCGCGCCCGCCGCACCGCCGCGCGATGAGCGCGCGTCGCACGCAGCGTTGCCCACACGCGCACACCTTTGCACGCGCAGCCTTAGCGTTCATAATACCCTTTCTACACACCGTCACATATGCACAGTGAGTATGAATTGAAATTTAACTTAAGAGCTTTTAATTTTCTTTATGATGTTTTATTGGTATTACGAATAGTATCACCATTTAAAAATATATTTCTCCATTATTTTATTGGCAAGTCTTATTCAACAAGTCTTATTAGTCAAGAAGATTTAAAATCAAATATTCAATGGATTAAGTACATTTTAATTAGTTTCGTTTCTGTTAGTAATGAGATCAGTTTATTCTTCAAAATTTTTTTTTCAAGTGGTCCAAAAATATGTGGTAATTATATTTTGGGTACAACCTAATTATTTTTAATAAGTTGGTATACCAAGTTTGCAAGAAAAACGTATTTTTAACTTATAAGTAGGAATATTATTTGATACGGATTTATCTAAGAATGTGATCGAAAGACAATGTTACAAAGAATTAAAAAAACCGGTCAATTTTGGGCTGTAGTTCATTGCCGTAGTACGTGATGAAAATATATAATTATAAATCATTTACCACTATGTTAAAATTTACTGTAACGTAAATAAAATATATACCCTACCCGAATACACCTTTGATATTCTGAATGTCAGAAAAAAATTAAAATATTATATATATATATATCATATACCCATTATTTCATGCAAGATGGTTTGGTTAGGTTGACCCTGTTGGATTTTGCTTTATAAAGTTAAACCTCAAACTAGCAAATTACTCCGACAAAGACATTCCCGCTGGCCGTCGCGTCGGCCGCTTTGCTACGCATCTACAAATGTTTGACCTGATAATTATATTTTAATCCTATATTTCTTTTAAAAGTTTTTGTCATTTGTTTCTTTCTCGCATTAAAAAAAGTTCTAATTAATTTATACTTGTTAAAGACTCTCGTAATGAAACGAATAATGATTTTTAAATTAAAATAACTTTACTTTATCTGAAGGCAAGAATAGCTCCTTGATAAATAAATACTTCTTATTATTCTTAATATATAATTACGCATGGCTATAAGTATAAACATAATATCTTGTACCTATAGTAATATTTTATTACTGTAGGTACAAGAATAATCTTTTTTTAAATAAAGGGAACAGTAACTTTTAGTTATAACTATGGAATATTTTTTGGTTTCTTGTAACATGTAACCTAAATCTAATGACTTTCTAATGACTGGTGGAAAAGTATAAATTTTGTCATAACATTATTATGAAACAGGACAAGCAGAAACTATAGTACCTAACAACATTCTAGGGTATTTGCATAAAATTAAAACATAATTTACTTGGTGGTTTATGTCAATCCCACGGTAAATGGCAATTCACTTTAAACCCCTCTCACAAATCTCAGTTAGATTGCCTCAGTATCCTTACTTTCATGGAGATAGGGTAATGTTTAGCAATGTAAATATCTTCAAGATTCATATGACCCTTATGTAAATCTCATTAAGGTACGAATAAATTTTGGGCGTGACTTTTTGGATTTTCATACATGAATATTGCTTGGTTTACTACAAAAATAAACTTTGATACATTTATAAAGAAAAAACTGAGCCATCGCACGACGTCTGGCAGATATGAAACAACGAAATTAATTTGTAGAAATGACGAGTATCAAAGGATAGTTTGTGAGTATTAAAGAAATAATAAATAAAGCAGTTAGAAATATAATGTACAATTTTTTTTAAATTAACATGCAACATATACTATCACTAAGCGTGGCAAGTGTGCCGTGGCGATGCGTCGCCACACCGTACGTTGCCATGCCAACAGCTGGTCTAACTCTTCGTAAATGATGCAAATGATTATTGATGGCTCTCAAAGCATTCTACGGTAAGGTAGAGTGATGATCAAAGTAAAACAGCTCCCAAAAACTCTATGAGAAAAACTGTCGATCGAACTCATTTTAGGTACGCCATTAGGGGATACCAGTTTTCTGCAGTGGACGATTAAAGGCTATTGATAGTGACGTGATTTACTATGGGCTACACCTGCATGTGCAGCATGATATAAATGTGTTTTAGTATATAGGTAGAGTTATTTCTCATTGCCTGAAAGTAAGGATGAGCTAACGAATGAACAACCATGCACCGTGGGAGAGCCTTGCTTCAGCACATAGAGCAAATAAGCAATTCTTTAGTTGATTTTCACAAGTGTGTCTGGTTACCGGAGAGCCAACACCTCCTACTAATTTTGAGGAGTAGGCACTAAAAAAAAATCAGTTTTGTAGTCAATAGACATTCATTTGTTCTCCAAACAATACAAAATAAAGAATTATTTTCTTAACGCAAATCTGTTCGAAAAACAAGTCCATACTTTTGTAGTCAGTAGTCAATTAGTACGTGAGGAGAATTCTTCGTGCACATGTTTTAAGCAAACGCCTACAAACAAGAACATGGACGTAAAATTTTAATTAATTGTACTTTGTTTGTAGATGTAGATGATTTTTTAAACAATATGTGCTATAATTTTTTATTAAAATGGAATTAATTGAATTAAAATTATGAACAGCTTCATCAAGCCGTAAGTGTACTAGAGTATTTTTTGTGACCTGCTATCGTACAAAAGTCTACACAATGAAAGTTCAAATAAAACTGGTCAATGAATTAAAACAAGATATTTAACAAATTTCAAATTTATAAAAGGATACAAAGTTTAACTCATTTGTGTATTTTGGGGATGACCGACAAGTTTTGAACCCGACAGAGAGGCCTTTATCAAGCGCTGAAGTTTATTTCTTATTTCCGCATCAGTATAGATCTCCATAACATAGAAACAGGCGAAGAAAAACAATATACTAGTCTTTTCATCCTATTGGTCGAATCGACTAGTAGGAAAACGCTTAGTAATAACAAAGCTTGTAATTCTAACTAAATACAAATATTCCTTATTGAGTAGGTCTTATTACACTTTCAAACGTCGTTAATACAATAAGTAATCAAATTGAAAGAAAAAAAGAAGATAGTAGATTAACAGGGATGAAATGACCCTGACGGCCTAGTGAAAGGTCATGAGAGTCACATAAATATACATATTTTTATCTCTATTGCAAGGCCTAACATAAACCAGTCTGCCGTCACCATACGGGCTTATGATTAAAGCTATGTAGGTTCGTAACGCAACCCACCGGAATATACTCCTGCAAGAAAAACTGATGAGTAATGAAGATTCTACATAACCCGGTCAGGTCGATGAACCCGTCATCGTTGAACTGGTAGATAATAGGAGTGGCGTAAAAGTCGGATGTCATATTGATGACATTTGTCTAAATATTGTCAGTTACGTAGACGGCATGACGCTGTTATGCGCGTCGCCATGAGCCCTGACCAAGGCTTGTTCACACATGTGAGACATGGCCTGGTGTACATTGTCAAGAAAAGTGAGGTCATGGTTTTTGAGGGTGGGTGTAGAGGCCCCAAGAATATGCCACAGATACTTTAAATAGGCAACCAATAAAAGCGTATTTAAGTTTAGATAAGTCCCTCCATATTCAATCCAACAATGCGTTTAGGGTGCTGTTGGGGCGGGTTAGCCCTAGAAGAGAAGAGTGGAGAGAGTGGAGAGCCTTCTACTCTCCACTCTCTGTGGACTGCTTTTACAAGCTTTCACACTACTATGCGAAAGCGGCGTGCATCTTTGGTGCGCAGAGTGCGGGCTAGCTCTAACAGCATTCTAGGCTTGATTGCAGAGAGGTTAGATTGTAGGTACAGCGCCGTCTCTCATGGAGTACACAAATAAAATATTGTAAATGGTCTTTACCAACATAGGATACGTTTTATGTATTACTAACAATCAATGAGTCATGATTTCTTTAATAAAATGATATATTATTATTATATAGACAATCAGCAAATAAATGTCTTAATAGTGTCAATACCAATGTAGACGGTGAAGTATGATTAATATTTCTTGGTTTGTGCTAGAAGCGAGCGCGCGGCGGCTGACCGGCTGGAAAACGTGACGCATACCGTGTCACGAATACTTGACGGATACGACATACGACTGCGACCTAATTTCGGTGGTAAGTGATTGATTTTAGGATAACAGTTCAAGATGACATGCATTGTCTATAATGACAAGTTCACACCTCTCTACGCCTAACACTTGACTTTTGTTTATTAAATTGAAAGGATAGTTGTACAATATTGTTTCATAACTACTTAATAACGGTACAAAAAGTAATCGTCTTACTTTGTTAGGATCTAAGAAGTCGAGTTGAATGACCCGCATGAATCTATTTTTCCGCCTGTAAATTGTTCTAGAATGTTCAGGAGTAAATTAAAGTAAATTAAAGACAAACAGCTTATTCTTCCGTGATAGTGCATTCGCTTGCAACACAGAGGTCACGGGTTCGATTCCCGATCTAATTTAAATATTTTGGGTGTTTCTAAGTGTTATATGTATGTACTTACGTAGTTAGTTACAAAGAAAGTGTGGTTGCTTAACAATAAGTTGGGACGAAATAGTCAGACTTAGGGTTTTATATGGAAACTGTGTTATGTTTTTTATTAATAACGAAATCTTTCAACTTATTCTTTGATTAATTTGAATATTTGCAAATTTATAGAAAAATGTTGGACATGCAAGGCTTATAATAATGTATAATAAGCTAAAAAATGCTTTAATAGTAAATAGAAGTAGAATATTATTTCTTTTGTAGTTTTTATAAACTTTAATGAAAACTAGGAAGGATAAAGGATCCCATTGAATGCGTAATGCACTAGAGAGAATATTTAATCTATCTTTCGTGAAAGATAGACTGAAGCAGGCTTGTGTTTGACTCGTGTGACCAAGAAAGCATGCCTTCAATAGAAGAAAGTGGTTAATTATTTAAGAATGAGTTGTATTTCTTAACTATCTAGTGATACCATTATCATTTCAATAGCGTATCATCATCATCAGCCTATGGCAGTCCACTGCTGGACATAGGCCTCTCCCATTGCACGCCACTTAGATCGATTGTCGGCTTCTCGTATTCATTCATTCATTTCAATAGTGTTTAGGAACTGTTAATAGCGAACAATAAAACTGACGGTGTGCTGGTTTGAAATCGAAATTGTATTTAGTTCGTTATTATGTTGTCATCTGTGATCTGTGTTTACAAAAACGACAAAAATCGGTGGTAATCATAGACATATAGTGCAATCGATATCAAGGTTAATATAAAAGAAAACGTACTTAATATAAAAGTAACTACGTGTGTATTAACTAAATATGATTTCCATCTAATTCTAATTCTAATCTAGTGACTGCTGTAACACAAGCAGTCACTAGACGAGAATGGTTCGGTAATATAGGTCGCGTTATGCATTCGAAGCATGCACTCAATTTCTATTCCTGTCACTGTAATATGTATATACATATTATAGGAAGATAAGATATGTGCTCAGCAGCATATTACGAGTAGTGGACCATGATATTTCGTATTAAATTTGCTTAGTAGCGCAACCCGATTTGTCAGCAGTACCGTTACTGCATACGCTGTCTTTACTGCATAAATGTTATTGCTTTTCAGGAGACCCACTATACGTCGGTATGGATCTTACAATTGCTAGTTTTGATGCAATATCTGAAGTGAACATGGTAAGTACAACTATTTCGAAGGTTAAGAATTATGTTTAGCGATAGTATTAGATTTCATAGAGAGATTCTTCTTTATGTCTGCGTACAAATATGCATAGATTCTTTAAGACAGTAAAATATAAATCGATCTATTTAGGAACTCTTTAAAAGCTGATAGTTAATGATTGATTGATAACCACACAGCCCACTTAAGGTATAGGTGCATTACAGCTTCAGAAGCAAATCTCCAAGATGACCTTGTCTCCACTTCTTCAGATTCGCTGAGGATGTTTTTTGGGTCGTATGAAGGACTTTGCTCTCGAGCAGGTCGTTCATCGTAATTCATTAAGCTTTTAATAGCTGTGAAAAGGGAGCAAGGCCGTGGTCACTTGACACACTTCGAGGGTCGCCGGTGCCCGAGGGGCGGAGTGCTGCCTCAGCCAATCGATGTTCGCCTTTACTTTCTACCGCCACTCGCCGGCTGCTAACGCAAAGGTCACCGCCCACTCACAGCTCTTTTATATATATTGCTTACATAATATACCATGTTCTGCTAATGGAAAAATGACAACCCATAAAGGTAACATGTGATCTATCATATGGTGCATCAAGGTATCAAATTCTCAATAGGAAATGTCGTAGGTTCGAAGCAGTGACAGCTATCGGTGTACGTATGGTATGGTCTTACGATTTTCTTTTATGGGTCAAACTGCTAATGTAATCATTGAACATTTTACTAATGCACTTTCACACAATACTCACATAAATAGAATAAAGAGATGCTTTTTATTCTCAAATATATTAATGATTGCATATCACTTTCAATATTATTGAGGTTTAATAAACCATTTTCATAATGACTATGTAAAGGTCCCTTTGTACTGACACTTGTAAAATCTACATTGCAAACGATTTGTATTAACTGCACTCCTTCCATACATCTACTTTATATTGTCCATGAAAGTACTATAATACTATAATTTGTAACTGACTTTTAACCGATTTTAGGATTTAGAATTAGCTTTAATTTCTGGTATGGTATGGTAGTGTGGTCAATTATAAGTAAGTAAGAATACAGAAAAAAGTAAATAAAAGTCTCAAACTCGTTTCGTGCATGTGCCAAACAATGGATAGACCTACTTATGAACCATTTAATTAATAATTTTGTAATGTAGGACTTTTACAGTTTATAAAGTGTTGTGACAAATTATAATGCACTTATGTGTGATTTAAAACGGATTACTATCAACAAATATTCTACAAACCGTCGACATACATAAATAAACCAACAATGCAGCAAACCACAAAGCAAATGAGGCGTAAAACCTTCGCCCCTAATCGAATTACTGCCCTGATCTGTATTGTAACACAATCTCAAAAGCTTTTCTACGCTTACAGGATTACACAATAACACTTTATCTCAACCAGTACTGGAAGGATGAAAGACTGGCCTTCGGCTTACCGGACGAGGTCTTGACACTGTCCGGGGATTTCGCCGATAAGATTTGGGTCCCTGATACTTTTTTCGCTAATGATAAGAATAGGTAAGAAATTCAACCTTTATAAAAGTGGTAGATAATATGATGAGACTTTCGAATGGGTTTCTTTCTTAATTTAACAGCATTGTAAATAAAAAAAATTAGTTAAAAAAAATGCTTTTGTAACTAGCCGAACTACAAAGTACAAAATAATTTTCTTTAACTTGTTAACTTAACGCTTGTTTACGATAAGACGAAATTTTTTTGTGTACTCGACTATTTACAAAAGCGTTTATTATATGTAAAATTTATTTTAGCTTTTTTAGCATTAATAAAGATTATTTTCTCATTAAGAGTAAAAAAGTAACAACTAAGTAAGTTACATATTCAGCACACGCCTTGGTACGTGGCAAAAGATATCATATGTTTAGATATGGAAAATACCGTTATGCCTGAATATCCAGATCAGGATCGTCAGACAAATGTATCAAATTATTGTATTGTCATCGGTACTTGATTAATATTCGTTTGAATTAATTCAATCAGACGTTTCAAAGTAGATGAAATTCACGTTTACAGATTCCGTTATTTAAATACGTAGATACATGGACACATACATACCAAGCTAATAAAAGCGTGTTAAGTGACTACTTGTATGAGTTCTGTATTAAATTCCTGTAATTCATTTTCTCCACGCAATCTAGTGATGTGACTCAATATTCTTTAATATTTCGTGCCCGTTTAAGTATCCCTGTCTCTTTTTCCAATGTGTTTGTATTTTTTGATCGGATTGACAGTTCAACATCTGCAGATTACATGATTTGAATAATTCACTCTAATTGGTGTGACATTTTTAGCTTCCTTCACGACGTGACGGAACGCAACAAGCTCGTACGCCTCGGTGGCGACGGCAGCATCACATACGGCATGCGCTTCACTGCCACTCTGGCCTGCATGATGGACCTTCACTACTACCCGCTGGACAGCCAAAACTGCACCGTCGAGATTGAAAGCTGTGTGACTCATACACTTGAAATAGATCACCAGGCTGAGCTTAACGCTTCAACTCTTTAACTGACCGACCCATAACATTTGTTTTTTCGCAGACATTCGCCACGGTTTCTTCCTTGCCTGAATATTTCGTCTCAGTAACCCTCTCTTCTCACAAAATATTTTAGCCGGACAGTTTCCATATCATTAAAACTTATCCTTAGTATTCCAAACGTCATGCCCTGCGCAGTTGTTATACTGTATTATTTCAAAACACTTAACACTTAACTTAACAAATTTTAGTTTTTCAGCCACACCGTAAAATATTATTCGGAAATATTAGATTACCTACTTAAATGGATATTAAACAATGTAATTTGAAACAAAGATTTATCTAAATAAATCACATTCCGTCAATATTTGCCACAATTTACAACATGGGATGCTTTTCCGCTTATTAAATGAATTTTTGCTTCTAAATCGCGTTTTAGAATACCGTATAGTAATCGTAGAAGGCTGACAGTATTCTAACAAACTCTTTTATATGCAGATGGGTACACAGTATCAGACGTAGTGATGTACTGGAAGGAGACACCAGTTCGGGGCGTTGAAGATGCTGAATTGCCCCAGTTTACTATACTTGGCCATGAAACCAATGATAGAAAGGTGGGAACTATGGCAATTATAAAGTTTCCATTAATATTAAGAAGTACTGGTAAATAAAGGCATGTTAATAAAGTAATATAAATAAAGTTGAGTAAATAATAAAGTTGATATTTTTGTTAATGTAATTGATACAGGTATTGTTTGTAGCAAATATTAATTTCACAAACAAGCATCTAACCCATTTATATTACAAGTTACTGCTCAAAAACTTTGCGGGCGATACGCATTGTTAAACAATGTCAAACTTGCATTAAGGTAAATGCATAAGTTTTAACTAAAGACAACCAAATTCCAGGAGAAGTTGGCGACTGGCATCTACCAACGCTTGTCACTGAGTTTCAAACTACGCAGGAACATTGGCTACTTCGTATTCCAAACCTATCTGCCAAGTATACTCATAGTAATGCTGTCCTGGGTCTCTTTCTGGATTAACCACGAAGCAACATCAGCTAGAGTCGCTTTGGGTAGGTCCGAGGTTTGACTAACGTTAACAAAATAATGTAAGGGTTTTAAATATTTTCGGCCCAGCCGGAGACATACTACGGTCTCACAGAAAACCTGTGTTAAGCAATTAGGTTACAGGAGGCCAAAACCTCCCCATCCCGACTTCTAATTGCGAGGAGAGGGGGAGGGCATCCAAAGGACAGCAACAACATACTTGTATCTCTTGAATTGCTGCCCTTCATGGGCGGTGTTAGTCATTTACCATCAGGTGACCCGTCTGCTCCTTTGTCTCCTATTTCATTAAAAAAAATACTGATTCATGTCAGGCACATCAGGCTGAAGATAGTTACAGTTAAAACTATATCATTTGTCTTTGTACCTACGAACTTAGGATAAGTTAATAATTGAATCTGAACATTTAATTCCCTATAGGCATCACAACGGTTCTCACGATGACCACAATTAGTACGGGCGTCCGCAGCAGTCTCCCAAGAATCTCATACGTGAAGGCAATCGACATCTACCTAGTGATGTGCTTCGTGTTCGTATTTGCTGCCTTATTGGAATACGCTGCAGTTAATTACACGTACTGGGGTGCGAGAGCACGAAAACGGGCCAAGTTAAAGAACCGAGACCAGATATCGACCAGTGCAAGTGTTGAGAAAGAATTAAAGTGCTCTGGAGGTAAAATTTGAGTTAACTACTATTACTTACTACTACTATCATGTGGTGACGGATTAAGAATACAGAGTGTCATAACCCATATTCTTCCCACATCCTATGAGTCTCGTAAGAGCCGACTAAAGGAGCAAACTACGCAGGACAGTAGCACTGAAAAGAAAAGGAAAACTTGACACAAACCCTACACCTATACTCTCTGGCCAGCGTGGTATAGTAGGGCAAAACTTCCTTTCTAACAACAGGCGGGCAGTGAACTACGAGTATTTGAGGCTGTCGATGATGATGATGATGAATTACTTCTACTGCTTATATATTTTTATATCATTTTATTTATTTATAAATAAGTTGTTAGTGGTATGTCAAATGGTACGAAAATGTCCGAGTTATCCTTAAAAAAAATCTTAGTTTTCATTTTCCTAAAAAGTTTGATTCCTGTCTATTTCAACGAGTTTTTTGTTGCTTTTCACCGATGGAGTGCGGTTGATCCGTCTCCTCATTTTTCATTTATTCCAGAAAATGAAAATGATATACTGATACGTCCCCTAAATCACAAAATGCCAATGTTATACGGTTATTGGGCACCATGAAGAACGATCACAATCTGTTCACACACATTATCATCGTAAATTGTATGTATACTTATCTACCTTAAAGACAAAAGTCGTTGTTTCCATTAGGTACATATGTATATTATAAAGCAGCTTCAATAGCACACAAGCAATATCAAGGATCCGATTACTGCCGAGGTTTAGTTTGAAGATAATGGATAAAATGGCTGTCAAACAAGTGATGTTTGTCAATGGCTATAGTTTACCAATTTTTTCACGACAGCGTTTGTCTATATATAACATAAGCACAACAAACCATTTTATTACCACAGGGGTTACGACTAGATTGAGAAACTTGTCGTAACAATTTCCGAATTTTACTTAAAATTATTACCTTTTTTTTATAATTTAAATGACTTAGTTTTAAAGAAAAAAGAGCCTTCGCGGTACGTCTTTCAGATGAGAAATATCGAAATTCTTTTGTAGATTTTTTGATGTTATTGTATTTATTTTTTAAATAAGACTGTTGCGTGTCACTAAAAGGATATATTCGCCGAGAAGTTGATAATAATAACTGATGCGTTCCAATCAAAGTTAAGCGAATGACGTGAATATAAATAAATCCCACTTACTCTAATATTGTTATTTTCTTTATAACTGTTCAGGTTCTCGATCCCCTGAGGAGATAATAGCACTACGAGAGTGTACAACGACTACAGGACGGGTTTCGCCACTCCTTGGACTCCGGTCGAAGCCTCTGCAGCCCGCTGCAGGTGCCCCACCGTCCCTTCGGCTTCAACGAGATCATACCCATCTCCGGTATAGAACAAGACCACATTCTAGAAACTCCAGGAGTTAGTATTTGTTCTTTGATTATCTTTTAATAACGCAAAGTAATAACTCTAGAATACGTCCTCAATTGCAAAGAGAAATTAGTCAAGTTAAAAATAATGCATTTTAGATAATGTCAGTGATGTGCCACAAGATCCACAGTTCTAGTTCAGCGTTACAATTATTATTTTTTCCAATTTGACCTGCCTAATTTTACCGATATCGAACCCACAAACACAAGTAATGACAATTGTAAGACAATTAAAATATTTTTTCAGATGGGTCAACGGGGAAGCCGAAAATGATGCACGCTCTTCGACGCGGAGCAACAGTGATAAAGGCATCGATGCCAAAAATACGGGACGTCAATGTCATAGACACGTACTCCCGAGTAGTGTTCCCCGTCTGCTTCATGCTCTTCAACGCCGTCTATTGGGTCTTCTACATATTTGATTAAACAATACTAAAATTCTATAATAAAAAATTGTCGCCATATTTCTAATCATTGTAACGAATTTAATTACGTGGTAACTTTGTGGACTCAAGGTGTGTAAAAATATATTATTTTAAATTAATTTTACATTTATTGCAAAATTTACAATTTGTTTTCACATTGACAAATATTATCAAAAGATAACTTAGAATTATTTTTATAAACCTAAATAGGTACCTATATGTTGCAATTGTGTCGAGTTAAGTAATTGCTTATTGTTAAAATAATTAAATCGCATTATATTAATATTAATAATATTGCACGTGTGGGTTTCTATTTGTCAAGAAAATAAATGCGGGAACGCAATTAATATTTATGTTCTTGATATTTCTAAATTATTCATACAAAATATTATTTAAGTATGAATGATAAAGTGCAAAGCATTTTGTGTACTTTTAAAGGTAGTTTTGAATGTAAGTAGTAAATAGAAATATTGCATTTTAATATAAATAAAAACTGCCAATTTTATGCGTATAAGAAAAAAAGAATATTTGAACAAACTGTTAAGTTTTAACTCTTGACTTCCTTAGATTATTAGAGGTAATGATAGTATCAGTTTAGATATTAAATTGACTTTATAGAATGCAAAGAGTTTCAATCAAAATGACAATACAGTGAGTTAAAAAGAAGATGACTTTTGTTTGACACATAGTTCAGTTCATCAAAACGAAGTGGGGAAATTTGAAAAATAATGGAACCATTTCAATAGTCATGTTTTGTAACACACACACACACCGTGTGTGTGCTCCGAGAGGTTGATAATAATAGCTGATGCGTTCCAATCAAAGTTAAGCAAATGACGTAAATATAAATAAGTCCCAGTTACTCTACACGCGAGTATTTATCGCTTTTCTACTTATACTTGAGAGGTCTTGGTCAAGTTAAATAATAAAAACACGTTCTCTCAAATTACGTTATTATTCCTGTACAATGATTCCTCTACAAATTCAGATTAGTCATTTCCTACCAATTCTTTGAAAAATAAATAAAAATGTGTTATATAATAGGAATTTTCGATATTGTTGTAAATAAATTTATTATAGAATAAACATAAAATACTATGTAGTTGTAACATTGATGTGTATATTAGAGAAAAATAGCACGTTATAGCTTATTTAAGATAATGTTGTAATGTTGTTTAAAATAAAATTTATAAAAACATTTGTGTTTATTGTTAGTTAAAACTATTAAATACACTAAAATAAGTAATAATAAATATTAAAAACATACTAAACAGTACTGTAGAAAAGGCTTTACAAAAATAATAAAACATCAATTAATTATAAGTCGTTCATTCGTTCGTTTCGTTCGTTCAATTGATAAATAGCTGTCCCCTGCCATTGACAAGAAATGACGAGAAAACAATCTTCAATCAATTGGTGTATAACTTTTCGAGTTTTTGAAACGCACACAAACTAACTTATCATTTTCATATATAAATAATTTATAATTAATCAATCCGGTAAGTGGGGTCACACTTACCGGATAAAAATGATAAGTAATTTATGGTGATGAAAAAATATTAGTTACTGATATGATTTCAGGTATTATCGTCATCAAGAATATACACATCAGTAAAAAAATATATTTGAGAAGGCACCTTCTCAAATATATTTCTTCAAAACAGACAATGTGGATAGTATCCTGTGTCGCGGGAGAAGAAGAAAGAAAGAAAGAAAGAAACATTTATTGCACAGAATACAGGTGGTACCAGATTTTAGAAAGGTGTATAATGTTCAAGCTATATTCTGCCTATACTAGGCATGTAAATATTTATATTGAGACTCAAATATACATGAAATGGACAGAAAGAAAACCCACCAACAATTATTTATTATATTATAAGTTCGACACGTATTCTCAATGAAGGAAAGTAGACTAAAAGAACAGCACTATCTTGTGTGGACGCAAACCGAAAAAGTGTCAAGCAAAAAGTAAATAATAGTTTTTTTTATGGAAGAGGGGGCAAACGACCAGACGGGCCACCTGATGGAAAATGAACACCGCCGCCCATGAACGCCTGCAACTCAGGAGTAACAAGCGGTTGCCGTCAATTTACGAAGCCATACGCTTCTTGAAGGTTTGAGGGTCCTATCGGTCCAGAAATATCGCAGATAAAAACTTGTTTAACAGGTTGGTTTTTCGAGGCAAAAAGTGTCTCGAAAAGCGCACAGTGGTAAAGCACCAATTATCAAATTTGATGAATAAGAAAATTTTGCCGTGTGGGAGGTTTCCATTTAGGTTTCCATATTCCAATTAGGATAAAAAAATCGTAATATTAGTGTGGCGTAAGCTTTTGATACGTATAACCCTATGATACAATTCATAGTCCGTAAATCTAAATAATTCCTCTTTATTTTAAAAGATGGTGCTGTGCCAAGCAAGAACTCTACTTTTCCTTGATCTAAACAAATAAATAAAATTGAAGTGTCTGTTTGGAATTTCAAAATAATAGATTTTTTTCATGCTCATGCGATCATTTGCAGGATACCTATGCCTAAAAACCAATTTAATTTTGTTTAATTTGTTGTCTGTCTGTTTGTTCGGGTAATATCCTAAACGGCTAGACCGATTTTGATAATATTTTCCTACCACGTAGCTGTCTATATAAGAAGTAACTTAGGCTATTTTTCCTCTCAGAAAACCCTTTAAAATTTTGCCCGGTCCGGAAATCCAACCTTCTAAGGCAGCGTTTTTCAAATTCCACGCGAACGAACGAAGTCGCGTAAAAGTACGATTAAAATATGAGCCATACCAATGAGGGTTTTCGATATTTTTTCTGCCAACAGACGGCGCTTCGTATGCGTCAGGTCCAAACAGCTGTCAGATAGCACAGATTCTTACCGAACGTATATTTTTTTAGTGAAATTCTATGAATTTGGAAGTGTTATTGAGTTTATTATAGATTACGGCCAGAGAAAGGTTGCCGAACTGAAGATTGAGCTCAAAAAGAGAGGCGCAAAAGTTTTATTTGCACATATAGGCACTGCACAATCTGTGGCATTTTAGAAAACAAAATTCCTTTTGTAACGTTTTTAAGAATGAATAAACCAAAAAATGATCGAAAAATACAAATCGTGTATGTGTTTTGAGAGGTGGTTGGACCTGACGCTACAGTGCTGCCATCTCACGTGGAACATTTCAGAAAACCCTCATTATCCTGGCACACGTTTCACAGGTATTTAACAAGTTAATAAATTTGATACTTATTACTCATATAACGCATATACATATGCTGCAGTTCATGCACTATTAACGCAGATCAACAAAAAGCTTGCTGCTTTGATATCTGCTAGAAAATACATTAAATATTTTTTATCGTGTAGAACTACAACTAGCAGTTACATAAAAGCGCTGTATAAAAGCATAATACGTTTAAACGGAATATTTAGGTACCGAAATGTATATACAAAGAATGGATTAACAATTTGAACACTATATATTGTAATATCAACACTTTTATTAATTATGATTACATTTCACTATTCAGGATCGTTGTTTTAATTATAAAAACTTAAATGTCTTAGAAACCATTAAATAATTAGGACGAAATCTTTGGCCTCAACTCAAATCTAGTATTGCAATGCCTTATTGAAAAATATATACATACAATGTGGCGTTATGAAGTAAAATATGGTAAAGATAAAAATTTCTATCACAGATTCAATGGCGTTTCTGAATTATGCCCTTTGACAAAATTTTCTTTGTTTTCATCTGAATTCGCGCCATCTAGCGTCAAACATCAAAATTGTATCAAACATCAGTGCTCAAGACCTTCCTAACCTAACATGAATACAAACCAATTTCTTGTCGTTGAAACCAACAAGCCCCGCAAGGGTACGCTGAAGTTACAAAATAATTAGGACTGTTTTAACAAAGAGTTCCCTGATAATATTATACTAAAAGAATTGTTACACTAATTTATCTATTTAATCATCTTGTAAACAAAACTTCATTCATTTTCTTCTAGTAAATCTTAAGGGTTTTATACTATGGAAAACAATTTGTTAATCTTAGTCAAAGTATTTTTAGAAAATTCGTTAATAATGCAATGCGATATCGTTTTTAGTGCAATAACTTGACAGGCTACTACTACTACTGGACTAGTAAGACTTCGTACAAATTGATTTAAGTTGTATGGTAACATTATCTATTATTGACTTTATGTAAAAACATCAAATCATACACCGTGTATTATGTGTTATGATTGTTTTCTTTCATATTAATATGAGTATAAGACATCAATGTGATGGCCTCAATATTTATAAACCATATTGATACTATATTTTCACATTTTTTAATCACACTGATCCTCGATGTTTTTTTTCAGAGGGAAAAACGAGCAGAACAGGGTCACCCGTTGATGAGTGCATCCCAACGCCCTCGGACACCTACAACTTAAGTAACATAAGTGCATTGCAAAGGTTTGAGAGCCTCATACAAAAAAAAAATTAAAAAATGGGTTGGCGTGCCAAAACGATACTCACTCGATAAAAAGCTACAAAAGAATTGCTTAACAGCGGCTTTCTGTGACGTTGTGGTATCACTCCGGTGGAGCAGGCTCATTTGTGCCGAATCATGGCTCTCCCACGGTATAAACTTAAACAGTTCTAGCTTGAGTCACAACTTTCTTGTCTTCAGTCTTTTGAATAAAACTTTAGCAAAGCTATACTGATTTATTAAAAGTTTTTAAACAATAAAACTAAGTTTAGAATGTTTAGATTAAGGGTAAAATACGAGTAAGTTAGAGGCACCTTTTGTTTATTTTCTAAAAACAATATGAATAGTCATATTTATCATAAATCGTAACTTCAAGAGGAAATTTTTATTTCAACCGTGATTTTTATATGAAACCGTCGATTTTAGCGTTATTGTTCTAGGAAACTATGGGAATTTTGGTTTTTTCAGTTATTAGTTTAAATTTTTTTATTAGTATTAATTTTGTTAAAATTACGTAGACAGAG